GCAACCCCTCCCCCTGGTACAGTTCCACCCGTAGAGCCCAACTGTCTGCCGTAAGTTTATGCGAGGCTGCAGGAGAGTAAACATCTGTCGTCAAGTGCACCGTCTACGTGAACGACGATCTCATTGGCTAAAACGGAAGACACCTCATTTCATTGGCTAAAGCAGGAGACACCTCGACGACAGCCACCCTCCACAAGGACCATCGATCATAAACACTACTTATTCACTTTGTTCCAGTCAGATTTAGAATTAAGCTTTTAAAATGACACAACAAGATTAGATAACCCGAAAAAAGTTAGCTGTCCTTCGAAACAACAGTTTTTACCTTTAAATCCACACATATGTTTTTGAATGATATACAAGGTGTTGAGCCCCGAAAAAAAATTGAAAACAATATCCAAACTGGCTGAAAAATGCCAGGTTGTTCGATTGTATTATTTTGACGAGCGCCCGATTTCATCACGGTGCCTGACACATGAAAATAAAGCGATACTATACGAGGGGGGTTCAAGAAATCTTTGGTCTAAATATGAAGGAATAAAAATAGAGCTTTGTAACTTGGCACACATACTTTCATTTCTCTACATAGTCACCATGTAGAGTAACACATTTCTGCCACCTCTCTTTGACCTTCAAAAGTCATTGAGAAAAAATGACCCGAGAATGGGTCCCTAACCAGTCTTCCACAGCTTCAATGGCGTTCTGGCTTTCATGGAAACGGTGTCCTTTTAGTGATATTTTAAGATTAGGAAACAGATAAAAGTCTGAAGGGACTTAGGGTGTTGAATAATCTGGGTGTGGCAGGATTTCCAAGCCACACTGTTTTGCTGTCTGGACTGTTTGTTGTGCCCTGTGCGCAGGGGCGTTTTCATGCAGTAGGAGGACCCCATTACTGAGCTTTCCACGCTTTTGTCTCACCAGTTCGTACCGCAATTTATCAGCAAACCCGAATAGTAGTCCCTTAAAACTGTGTTTCCATTTTACAGGTAGTCAGTCATGATGATACCTTCACAATCCCAGAAACACGACAGCATGAACTTTCCACTTGACGGTGTTACCCTTGCCTTCTTTGGTGAGAGAGAAGAGGGGTTTTTCCATTGCATGGAGGACATTTTTTGTTCTGGATCAAAATGATAAATCAATGTTCCACCCATAGTCACCATGTTTCTAAAGAAATATATGTTATTGGACTCAATTCGATGGAGAGTTTTGCAGGACTCAACCATCTGCTTCTTTTGCTCACTTGTCAAAAGGTGGGGTGCCCACCTCGCAGACACCTTATTCATGTTAAGATGGTCATGGAGAATCGTTTCAATTGACCCTACACTAATTCACGTTTCACTTGAGAGCTTTTTAACAGTTATACATCGGTCTTGTAAAACCAGTTTCTTCACTATAGATACATTCTCTTCAGTTATCACAAAGTATGGGCGCCCTTCACGATCTTCATCCATCGCCGACATGAATCCAGATTTGAATTTTCTTACCCAGTATGTCACAGTATTATAACGAGGACATTTGTCACCATAAACTTGGACCATTTTCTGAAAAATATTCGGAGGGGATTTTCCTTGCAAGTGTAAAAACTTGATAACTGAACGATACTCAGCAAGCTCCGTGGCACAGCTTCAGCAAAGAAAGACCAAACGTTTTTGTGCATGGTTAATACGGTCGGATTTTCCCAAAAATTTGCGTGGTGTGTTCCAAAGAAATTGTTTAAAAGGGGGGGGGCGGAATGTCATTACTCTACCATAATTCCTTCATACCCAGGCCGGAAACTTATTGACCCCTCCCCCTCGTAATTATTATGAAATAGACGTCCTGTACCACTGTGTAAGAAGCAAGGTGAAAATGATACAGTGTCAAACCAGCAAGCAAGCAGAACGGTACTAATGTGCAGTATAATCTGTCTTCATCATGATGGTCGACATATTTGAAATATACGGTTTCAGAAAATATCTTCTTTGTTTTCTCATATTGTGTTTGTGTGGAAATAAAACAACTTTTGGCTTTTTTTTTCTCCAAAATTGTTGAACTTTAAAACATGTTTTATTTTTCCTTCTTTTGTACTGAAAACGTAAAGAAAACTAATGCAAATACATGGAAAAAAATAAATTATGCATTCTCTAAGACATTTAAATCGACTTAAAGCTATTCAACGTCTCACTTTCACTGCAAATGTGGAAGGAAAAAGTTGCAGGGGTGGACCTAGAATAATTAAAAAGAGAACTTGAACAGATGCTTGATGGGACAAAACCAGGACGATACAGGTTCTTCGTGAGCATCCGATTTTGAGCACAAAACTGAATGCATGGCAAACCATGATTGCTGATGTCTGTTAAAAAAAATAGTACCTAAAGAAATGGAACGCTGGAAAAAAATAGTCCCCTCGCAACCACAAATAAGCAGCATTTTCCTCTTTGTCTTTGTTCATTAACTTCTTTGAAATATAGACTGATTTACAGTTCTTAATTTCCTTACTGGGTTTGAGCCAAATTTCAAATAAAGATAAGCAAAAAAATAATAAAAATACATTGTACTTTGTTTGGAGCGAAAATGACGATGGTCAGACCACTTAAGTAAAATTATAATGTATTTCATCCTATGTCACAATGACTTCATACCAAAAAAATAACTTTTGAACTGCCTGTCTGTCTCAAACAGACACACACACACAATATAATATA